TTTTGCAATTTGCTTCGGGAGTATGGGCGCACGCCCATACTGCTGTTGCCCACAGCTCTCGCGACTTGTGATTGCAATTGCTTGACGGGCTAGTCGCGTGCCGCTTGCACTCGTGCTGGGAGTCACTTGCTGCGATTGCAACGGCCCTCTCTGGTGATAACTACCAACAACGTAACATAGTTTGTCTCGCATTGTTGTGGCTTGCTCTTATGCGAGCTTATGCGGCCGTAAAACTGCAGAGCGAGGCGCTGAGCACCGCTTGCCTCGTTGGCATTGTTATGCGTCTTAGGACCGCGCGGTCGCGTTTATGCGCCCGCGGGGAACGGCGAACGAGCTGGGGCGTGGCCGACATGCTGTTTGTAATGAGATTGAACAAACCGGCTGTTAAAGTGAAAAGTGAAAAATGTTACTTCGCGCGTACTCAGTAGACAATGATGGGGGAAATGTCTTCCGTGCATCGTCGCGGCGTCTTTCTCAATAAGACTATGAGTGTCCAACGCGCGCGAGGTGGGCGGTTGAGTAACTTTGGTTGGCTTTCACTTTCCCCGTTTGATGTTTCTGCGCCGTAAATCAACGCGCCACACATCACACAGGGAGTGCTTATATATTTTTCATAGCGGATGGATGATGGTCGCGTGAGCAGGCGACGGGGAGACGTTACCTTTTACGAGCAGAAGGCGCGACTCCCGCCGCACTCTCCTATGTGACACCAGGGGACGGAGGCTGATCAAGTTACCCTTGACCAATCCTGGTCGATGCCATCCGCCACTAGCCGCCATCTTGAAAGGGGCGAGCTTCCTTCCTCCTCCACCCCTCCCTCCTCCCACATCCCCTTCCTCCTGGACATAACTCCCTCGCACAATCCTGTCCTGTCAGCCTTAGTTTGGCGCCGCTTCGCCAAAATGTTAGGATCCTCTCTCCACCCCCCCATACATTCATATCTCATTCTTTCTGTCTCGCTCCAATCCTCTCTTCCTCTCTCTCCCTTTCTCTCTCCCTCCCCCTCCCTCATGCATGGTGCATGATGATCCGTGATGACACTGCATGCGTTCCTCCTGCCACGTACAATTTTCGCGCGCCGACGCGCAGCTCTGGTCTCTCTTGCGACGCGCCCGCCGGGGAAAATGTTTTCGGGAGGGGACTCCTGTAACCCAAACGAGTGCAACAATTTTACTTTCAGATCACCACCACTACCCCACTCTCTCTCACTCTCTCTCTCTCCGTATTTGCTCGCGCTCTCTCGCGTCCGAGCGGCGCTGCGGCACCATGTCGCCGGGCATGGCACGGCACATTTCCACCCTTCTCATGACGACCGAGGAAGATTTCAGAGAGCGAGAGAGGGAGACCGTCGGCACAGTTAAAGCCTCCGAAACTCGCTCAGCTGTCAGGCGCAAGCGGCGTGCTTGTCAGACGCACCCACCCACCCACGGGTGCCTGCCAGTGCCTTCCCCGCGCCCCGCGCCGCGCCCGCGGCGGGTCAGGCGGCAACCCTCTGCACCGAGTCCTAGTTCCCGCCGCGGCCGGTAGGGGCGCCCGGCGTCGGCACCCGGTTCCCCCGCCACCGCGCGGGGGTGGGAGGGGGGGGAGGGGGCATCTCCGCTCCGCTCCGGCAAGTGAAGTGCCGGGCCCACCGGCCGCCGCCCGCTCGCCCGCCCGCTCCGCTCCGCTCCCGCTCGCTCTCTCTGCTGCTGCCAGTTGCTGCGAGAGCGTCGAGGGGAGAGCACACGTCGCCCGTTGCTCCGAGCCAAACCGGCGCACGAGACGTAACTTCGCCGTCCATTTTCGCGTGCCGACCCGTCTAAGTGTTCAACGACGTGCTGCCCAACTCCCTTCTCCCCTCTTCCGTCGGAGTGATTCTCACACCGACACCCATCGTCATCATCCTCATCTTCTAGCCGTGTAGCTTCTGGAATTTCAGTGCCAGTGTGTGTTGTGCTGTGTTCAAAAAGTGCCTGTTGTGATGATGGTGAAAAGTTAAAGTGCCAAGTGAGCCAGGTCGTTGAAGTCTCAAGAGCCGCCTGTGTCCGCGTGTGTGTTGTCTCCTTCGTGCTGCAAACATGAAGGTGTTTATCGTAGCCCTCGTCCTGGCGGCGTGCTCCTCCGCCATGTCCGCGGCGGTTGCCAGCGCCTCCTCATCGTCGTCCTCGGACCAGCCGGAGGACATCGGGTCGCCGTTGACGGTGGCCCAGTGCCGGGCGCAGTGCTTGCAAAGGGTGAGTACCTTGACAGCATCCGGAATGCACAAGAGTCCGCTTTCCAACAGGGTAGCCCGGCTTAATAACGCAGTAATAATCCTGGGGTCGTTTTGTTGTGCTGCTCGCTGTACCTACGGTGTACCTACATGCACAGGCTCTGCCCAGTGCCTGTGAGTGTGTGTGTGTGCGTCGGCCCCACCGACCTGCCCGGGGGCGGGCGGGCGGCTGGGGCGCGGTTAGGCGGGAACCACATCACCACCGCCATCACCGCGATGCTTCACCACGGCCACCCACCCCCTCGGCACCCTCCCATGCGCGCGCGGAGTACGCGTATGTATATATGTATATATATTGTATAAGGTGCGAATTTTGTCGCGGTGTTAGCTTGTGGGATTAACATTGTAAGGCAGGCGGGGCGGGCGCGCAGGCAGGCAGGCAGCCAGGCCGTGGTGCGGACTTAGCGTTGGTAATCTGCATACTGGATCTGCCAGGCAGGCAGTGCCGTGCCGCCGCAGCAGCTTCTGCTCGGCTCGCAGGCGAATCCCTGTTGTTCTGTCAAAATGAGCTTAAATCTGTTTGTGTGTCGCTGCTGCTGCTGCGGCTGGGGCCGTGCTGCGTTGCGTCGTCTTGCCGCCGGTGCATTGTCAAAGACTGGGGCACCCCGGCCTCGGCCCCGCCACGCCACGCCCCGCGCCGGCACGGCCTCGCCGGGCCTCGCCGCCGAGGAGAGGACGCTCATTGTCCACCGGGATCTCATTTCCCTAGTCGGTTGCACAAAAGTGAATCGTCGATTCAATTCGAAGGATCTCCCTCCTTCCTCTCTTTCTCCTCCGCTTCTCTCTCTTTATTTTTTATCCTCTTTGTGGTGCGATACGTAATGGAAAGCTACTTAAAAGCAGCGGCAGAGCCATGAATTCCTTCCGAGAGGATTTTCAGCAGCTGTGCCGCAGCGCGGCAGCGCAGCGAGTGAGAGGTCAAACAGCTCTCTATCTCCCCATCAGCTGACTGACTGACTGACGGCTGGCCGCGTCAGGCGTCGCGGCGCTGAGAGATGGCGGGGCTGATTGTCGCCCCGAAATAGCGGCCGAGCTGGGCGAAGGAGCCGGCTCTGCTCGCCGGGCCACACATGCTGATGAGCGTATCGTCTGCTCGTCTCATTGACTCGGCCGGTCACGTGCTCGCGAGTGGGCGGGGCGGGGCGGGGCGGTGGGCGAATAGCCTAATGAGAATGGGGCCCTGCTTCACGCCGCGGGCGCCCCTGCTGCAGCAGTCGGGGCGGGGCGGGGCGCCCTCTTCGATATCCTCCGTAAACTGGATTGGGCCGATGATGAGCACACGAGCTTGCCGCTGTCGCCTCGTGATGGTGATGGCCGTCTAGCTCGCCATCGTCATCACGCACACACACACTCACTCACTCACTCTCTCGATCGGGATGATGGTGATCGGGCCAGGCCGTCGGCTCTGCCGGGCCGTGTGTCGCAGCGCGCCGCTGCAGCGTCCAATGAATATGTATCCGGCCGCCCCGCCCCGCCCCGCCACGCCACGCCCGATAAATGGACTGATCCCGATCCATCACGTGCGGCTGGTCGGCGCGCGGCGCCTCCGCAGCCTCCGCAGCCTCCGCCTCCCGGAGCACGAGCAGAAGGCCGTGGAGAAGGGCCGTCCGGAGGAAGGGCCGACCGGACGGGCGGACGGGACGGGACGAAAAAATCTGGCCCCGGTCTTTTATTTGTGTGGAGCGGCTGGTGCAGCGGCAGCAGCAGCGGCAGCAGCGGCAGCAGCAGCGGCAGCAGCGGCAGCCGTGAGCCCCTCTGACCGTGAGCATCGGCGACAAGAAAGGCGGCTGTAATCGTCCTTCCGGTGGCGGTGGAGGCCCTGCCAGCGCCCACACCGTCATTACCCGAAATTGACGCGAGCGGAGCCGAGCGGAGCCGAGCGGAGCCGAGCGGAGCGCCGCCGCCGACTCGGCGAAATGTTGCGGATGGGGCGGGGAAGGGGAAGGGAAGGGTGACGGCGCGGGGGAGGAGGAAGGGGATGTCAAGGCGCTGCCAAATTGGATGAGTGGTGAGAGTCGTGGTGGCGACCCTGGTGGGGTCCGTCACTCTCGGCGAGCTGGAGCAGGAGGAGGAGGAGGTTGGCACAACTGACGCACCGCCGCCGCGCCTCGCCACGCCGGCCAGGGGTCCCAACTTGCCCCCAATTACACGCGCGCTGATTGGGCAGGGCGCAGGCCTCGGATTTATGGGGCGGTCGTCGGCGGCTGGAGAGGCAGAAGAAGGGGGGAGGGGGGGGGGCAGCAGCCGACGGGGCCCCGGGGGCATCCCCGGTGCACCGCCATAATCGATAATCACTTTCGGGGTCCGGCCGATAAGCGCGCCATGAGCACCGACACGCACGCCATGGTCTGCTCCGTGTCGCGCCGGGCGGAGGCCTCCGACCCACTGTGGTTTGGGATTATAGAGGGTGGACCGTTAGTGCGGATGGATGGCCAGACTCCCGCGGGGCGCTGCTGAGTGCGCTTGCGCCTGGCCTGCGCCGCACCGCGCGGCACCGTTCAAGCGTCAAGCGAAACAATACCGTTGCCGCTGCGGCCTGGCCCCGGCGGGGCGGCCCGACCCGATGGCGGCATCCTCGCGGTGGTGGTCGCCGCGCCGCATAGCGGGAGCAGCAGGGCAGAGAGAGACGGAGCGCGGAGGTGGTGGTGAGCGCCTCCGCACACAACTCTGGATAATGCGGGTATTTCGTAAGGAAATGCCCACCAAAGGCAATGTTCGGAAACAATGCCAAAAGCCAAGCAGCAGCAGAGGATTGGAAAGGTTGGTGGAGAGGGGGGCGTTCGTTCGGGCTGAGCGCTGCTGCGCTTGCATCCCGGCGGCGGCTCAGCCACAGCGTCAGCTGCGGGCCGGTCGAGCCTCGAGCCGCGTGTCCCTGACGCAGTCCTCCGGCCCGGGCCCCCCTCTGGCCTGCCTGGTTATTGCCCCCCTGCTGCTGCAACAGACTTGCGCCCTGCAGGCCGCCCCGCTCCGCTCTGTAGCGCCTCGCCGCGGAACGGCCGCCTGTTTGGAAAAACACGGGGCCGCGCCATTATGTACGCATGCCTCTCGGCCGCGCTCCGATTGACTCTCGATATTATTATTGGAGAGGATCGATTGCTACCTTCACGCGCTTCACGCCTGGCGCGCGAGGCGTCATGTATTGCGAGGAGACGCTGCAACGCCCCTTTGTGTGCGTGAAGACGGTGCGAGGCGCGGCAACGCGGCTCTGCAGCAGCGCGGCTCAGCAGCAGGGAAATGACGGTAAAAAATGACGGCGCGACGGAATGACGAACGGCAGCGGCGCGGCGGTGTTGTTGTTGTTGTCGCGTGGCGAATCCGCGGTGATGGAAACTGTTTTTTCTTTTTTTTTTTTTCAAAGTTTTGTTCACTGTGCGTCCGCTATATACCGCGGATACCGCGGCGGCGGCGAGGCCCTTCTCGGCCCTGCAGGGGCGGGCTGCGCAGCTGAGTGGCGAAAAGGGGTAGAAAATGCCGCGGAGAAAAATTGCAGGGGTTTATATGCGCCATGCGGAGGAGTAGTGGTGTCCCCGCGTGGGGTTGGAGCCGTAAGGAAACAACGGGGCGTGGCGGGGCCCCACCCTCCGCGAGGACGTTCCTCTACGACGGCCTGGTCTGCGCGGCCTCCCTCTCCTCCCCTCCCACCTCCGAGGTGTGAAACTGATATTGCTCGCGTCCTGCTGGCCGGGCTGTGATCAGCATAGGTAATGTAATGCATGCCCTAACGGTACGTCAACACCTCCGCGCGAGTCTCCTGTGTCTGTCTGTCGGCCGCGGCCGGGCGGACCCACAACTGGCGGTGCGACACGCTGTTCGGAGTTACGGTCCCTTGCGGTGCCGCAACCGCGCTGCTGGTACCCTCATGGTACCCTCATGGTGCCCGATGGAAGTGGTGCCCTTCCTCGCTCTCGCACCGCCACCACCGCGAAACCTCAGCCTTACGACCGCCTCCGCCTTGACCCCGAGGGGCCGGGGCTGGGTCCCCAGGGCCCGCCATGGCCGGCCTAAGGGTCTTGCTGCTGCTGCTGCTGCGACCCGGCCCGGAACATTTCAAACTACATTTCCTTCTCTCTCCCGGCGGCGTGGCGGGGCCCGGGGAGCGGTGGAGGGGCGACAAATGAGGGTCAGTTTGGATGTGTCGCTGCGGAAACGAGCGCGGCGCGTCCGAGCGTGAAATGCAATGTGGAGGAATGGCGCGGAGCGAACTGTGGTGGTGGCGGGCCTGGGGTGGTGCGGTGTGGTCCCGATGTCCTCCTCGGCGACAAGCAGTCTGGCCTGGCCTGGCTTGTCCTCGGCGGGGGGCGGGGCTCCACACGGCGAGGTGGATGTGTGCGTGTGTGTGACAATGCAAACTATTTCCTGGACTCTGCCTTTACGGTGGTGCCCGCCCCCGCCCTGCCCCGGCCTCTTCCCGTTCTTTGTATGGCGGTGGTGCACAAATCGCGCGTGATCTGCGAAGAATCGGGGCAACTTTTTGGGACGGTCAAACCATCCATGAGACCTGAGATCTTTTTGGGAGTAAGTTCCGACAGAAAATGGTGAATACATAGATAGGTATGTAGAGGTACGTACCCACCCCGTCGGAGAGGCTTGTGAAGTGCACGGTCCGAGCGGACACGTCCGAGGGGAAGGCGGTGGAGGGGGGAGGGCATGAGCGCGAGCCACGCGCACTTCGAGGACTTCCACGCCATCGGCTCTCCGTCAGGAGGGGGAGGGCGCAAAGCGAGCGAGCGTGGGGCGATTCAAGTTGGGCGTAACTTTCGAGTAGTGGGCGAGGAGAGGAGGCAGGGGAGATAGGAATGAAAGCAGAGAAGAGTATGAGGTGAATGAATGAGTGGATGGTCCAGAGAGCAGCGTAACGTTGCCCCGGCCCACCACGCCCCGCTGCCGGACCGAATCGGGGGTCCCCGTCGGGTGTAGTCTCTCACGGTGAGGCCTGGGCCGGGGGCGGCAGTGCGGCAGCAG